CAAAATCTAGTTCTTCTCAATGAAACAGTTATAGGAAGCCCATTCTTCACTATTTCACAAAATCATCTGGCATATTACATATAATGTGCTACAACAAACAGTATATGATTGCTCAATTTCTGAACAAAGCTTAAATTAAAGATTTACTGTATTAAATCTGAACCACTAGACAGGCACCAGAGATGGTCAGTTTTTTCTTACTGTTAATCATAGATTGAAGCAACAGTATGAGCCATATATTATTACATAGAAATATTAGAAATGAAAAAAATATAATTAAATTCACAGCAAAGGAGCTTTATTTAGTGTTAAATATTCAATAACCCAAGTAAGCAGCATTGGGATAGTGTGTATGATGGGAACACACTAAATTAGTAAAACAGTAATTTGGAGTTCAATAATATTCTCAACAATTCTCTTGAATAACAATGTTAAAATTTCCAACTTAGTAATGCTGTTCTTTAGGCTATAGATACATGTTTTCAAAGTATGTATAAACCATGCCCAAAATGCACTTTCTTCAAGAGAGTTGGTGCCTCTAAATCTTCAGCAAAGAAGCAAATGTATAAATAGTATATACCAGGAGAAACACAATTTGAGTAATGAACACTCACTCTTGATAAAGTAAGCTGACATTACAATGTGCTGCTTTGAATATCTTTTATAAAGCAGGTAAAATTAAATATATGAGCTCTGCCAGGTTTGAATGTCATACTATCTTGAGTGAAAAAAATCCATTCAGAAATTATTCTCTGCTACACTTTCATAAGTGATTCAGTTCTACTGTGCTGAACCATCAAAATGTTACTTTTTCTAAAGATAACATTATTTGTAATGAGGCACTTAACCACTGTGACTCTGTGAGCATTGGAGAAATCTGAAGTACAACACAATGCTATATGGTTTTATTTAGACTGGAGAAAAAAAACTATGCTTAGAAACATAGTTTTAAATTTCAGTATTTCCCAAGATTATGCAAATTCACTAGACACCACATCCTGGAGTGTAGTGTAACAGTTACACTGAGACAGATTCATCTATACTTTCCTAATTAGCTTTGCTATGCCAAAAGTGTTCCCACAATGCCTCCATATCCCAGCCCGACAGTTAGAATCAGGTTTGTAACTCCTTTTCTGACTCAGAAGAAAGATTAATACGTCAGCTGGGTCAATCTGACTGCAGAAGGGACAGGCTTTCTGCAGCCTGAGCAAAGAGTAATGAATAGCAGATACCATTCCCACAGTCAAGTGAACTCAGAACCTGTACCCTCCAACAGCTTGTACTGCATTTCCAGCTGTAACCTCCCAACCCCTAATATCTACATCTAGCTGATACGGACTTTGCTCATTTTGCAGTGTAATGTTATACAAGCCCAGACACTGACTTCTTTGGGGCTTTCTCGCTGACAGGTCTTGTGATCCAAGTCACACCAAAATCAAGCCTTGGCCAATTCGTAGAAGCTGTATGAGGAGTGGATGAGGTCACAACTTCATCGTGAGGGACAGACACTGATCTCCTCTCTGTGGTGGCTGGTGGGACACGAGGGAATGGCCTGAAGCCTAGTTGGAGAAGGTTTAGTTTGGATGTTTTGAAAAGGCTCTTCACCCACAGGGTTTTTAGGCACTGGAGCACTTTCCGCAGGGAAATGGTCATGGCACTAAATTTGTCGGAGTTCAAAGAGTGTTTGGACAATGCTTTCAGGCACAGAGGGTGATTCTTGGGGTTGTCCTGTGCAAGGCCAGTAGCTGGACTCAATGAGCCTTGTGGGTCCTTTCCAATTCAATCAGCATATTCCATGGTTCTAAGTTTAATTTAACTGCAAGACTTAGATAAGCTAACAATGTTTCTGGGTCTAGGCAATGTAGTTTCTTTCTTGCAGTCAATTTAAAAGACTAAAACAACTTCTGATTGATCGCTGACCACATGTAAGGCAAATTAAATATCTTGTTGCTCTCTGTTACTTCTTAAGAATGCTTATGCTTTCTCTTTGACAATGAATTCAGGAGCAGAGACATCAGAAGTAGCACGGACTGCTGAGAATTAGAGGTGCTGTAGCTGTGATAGCAATGTTTGAAAGTGCGTCCTAGTTGTCTTGGCTTCTTTTTACTGCTCTGATACCCAAGTCAGCTTACTGAATATTCATCAGAACAGCTCAACATTGCATTCTGCACAGCATGGATAAATGAAACAGTATCGAGACAAAGGTTTGCAAATCATGGCACCATACAGGTTCACATACACAAGTCAATCCTTTAAAGTTATTGTAAAAAACAGTACAAAACCATGAAAAAATGAAGTGGGGGAAGTGTTCAGCAGCTATTGTAGATTCCTCTCACTTCTTTTTGTTACAGATTGAGATATGGTGTTGCCTAAACTTGTGCCAAGGCACAGCAAGAGGAAGTGAATAAGAGCAAGAATGTTTGAGTTTTAAGAGGGCTTCTAACCAATCAAACAGAAATACCAGTGTAGTAAGATTGGCAGGGACTTCTTTAGAGTCTTTCTTAACTTCATCTGCTAACAGAGGAGACACATCTGCAATAAGGTGAAAAATTTACAGTCATCTAGGAAATTTTCTGAAATCATCAAATCAGGGTATGTAAAAAGCAGTTTTCTCAGACAGTTTTGTTTGCCATTTTCCTATATTTTTCCACCTCTACAGTTTTTGCACAGCAGAGTAGATGTTACTATTACCATTTGAATTTTTTTCCAAGTTTCCATGTGCTAAGGCAAAAAGAGTCCAGTACATGCTTTTTACAGCATAATAAATCCACACTGATACTGTAACCTTATGTGTCATGCTAATGACTTCTTTAATCACTGATCCCAAAGCAACATCCAGATTATTCAACCCCAAATTCAGAAAAGACAAACTGAAATGTAAGACACTGAGCATAGACCATTTCCTGGATTTATTCTTTTGATTCAAGGGAATACTGTTTGAGAGAAATAGATTTTTCTGATTGGGGTTCCAATTCTCTCAACTAGTAATGAAAGAAATAAAAAACCAAAAATCCTAGAAAATATGACAGGCAGCAACATTCAGACTGTGACTGTGCAGTATCTGCAGTATACATTTAAGACAGTTCAATGTAATGTTCTAACTATGGTTAGGCAACAAGGTTATCCAGTTCTAGTGGCATGGGATAACCAGTACATAACTCTTGACGCTCCTCTACAAGGAAGTATGAATTCAGCTACATTTGAACACCATGATAACTTTGAAAATATGAAAGGTGAATAGAAATTATGAATTGTGTTTCAAAATTTCTGGTTTCACCAGCACTGTGCAGATTTCAAACTACTTACTTTGAGAGAACAAAAAGGGTTTCTGTGGGAATGTGCTAACTCTTGAATGAAACTTCACCTGTAAAAAAGACATGGAAGGTGTTAGAAAAAGAAACAGTTCAGTAAGACATTTGAGACTGGTCATGGGATCTGAACTAGAAACAAGAGAAAACGGAACCTTGCAGCTTTTGAACAGTATGAATCACATTTCAAGAAGGAAAATACTACTCTTAGTCACATACCAGTTTGTCAGTAATCCTGGAATTTACTTTGGAGAAAACTGACTTTAGGACAGTACTGTTGCTTCTCGTTCCAGTACTGACTGTAGATTGTAGCACATTCTCATTGCAGAAAAAAAATGCTGAGATCACTCATCATAGCTGCTGTTTTCTTAAAATCCAAGCAGAGAAATCTGTGGGATTTTAAGAAACCCAACCTGGTAGCTTCATAGGCTTATCCACTAGACTTCACTAAAAGAAGCAGGAACTTTCTTCCTGCAGAAACTTGTCAGGAAATAGTCAGGAGTCCAGTATACTCAATATTTGGCTTTCTAACAAAGAAAAAAACAAATTTTATTGTGAACTGTTCTTTTGCCTGTTACCAAATGGCTATATAAACTTGGGAATACACATATTTAGCATTCCAACTAAATGTGAAATATATGGTTGATCTTCCACTGGCCGCTGAAATTTATGTGTATTCCATGGATGAACAAATTTGACCAGCGTTGACAGCTGTTTCTGTCCTTTCACTCTCTTAGATTTCACATCAAGATTATGACTAAGGTAGATCGCAATATTGCTTTAGACAATTACATGGTTTGAAGAAACAGCCCTGTTGAAATTGCTGCTATTTCTGCTTCTGTGTTAATTCACTTCCTTCCTACACTGTAACAGTCACAAGCACCATCTTACAGCCAGACCTCGATCTAGGCTTCTCATCGGAATGGACAAAATGGAGAGAAAAATCACGGGCTGCTTATGATTTTGCAGGGGTCTGGGGGTTGAAGGGGGAGGGCAGACACACGGGTCTCTCTCTTATTCGTGTGTGTGGGGGTGGGGGGGGGTGAGTGTGTGTGCACTAGCAGCTGATGCTGACAGGAGAGTTTCTCCAACAGGAATAATCGCCGCCTCGCTCAGCTCAGCTGCATCTTCACTGGTGGTTGCAGCTTGTTTTTGCCTGCCCTGCACATTGGCCAGCGGCAAGGCCGTGTGAGTGCTGCAGCTGCCTCACTGTGCTCACACACAGAGCAAGCTCTGTAGCCTAGCAGTATAAAAGACGGATGAGCCGCTATGAAGACACAAGTAACAGTCCAGATAATTTTACGAGAATGCACTCTGTCCTGTCTTCATAATGTTGTTCTGACTTCATTAAAACCACAAACGATTTGAGACACAAGCCTGCACATAGTTCCCCTGGGAATGGCTCGGAGGTTTGAACCGGGTTTTTAACACAGGAGTTGAAGGAAGACAAAGTTAGAAGAGACCGCCAGCATCAGCGGGTCTCATACCTTGCAAACACCGACAAAATCTTTTCAATTTCTTTTCTAATCCATTACCAAAACCCATCGGTGTAAATCCGCACCCCCCGCACCCCCTCACACGCAGCACCGCCCCTCCCGCAGCGGGCCCGAGCCCCGCCCAGCTCTCCCGGCTCCGCCCCTGGGCCGCCGCTCACTCGGAGGGCGGGCCCCGGCTCGGGGCGGGCCCCGCGGCCCAGTTCCGGCTGGCGGGGATGGCGCGGCGGGCGTGTTTCAGCCGGTTGCTGTGCCTGTGCTTCAGCCGGCTGCTGCCCCTGTGCCTGCCCCTGTGCCTGCCGGCGGCGGCGCGCCCGCCCGCCCCGCACCTCGTGCTGGTGCTGGCCGACGACCTGGGCTGGGGCGACGTGGGCTGGCACGGCTCTGCCATCCGCACGCCGCGGCTGGACGCGCTGGGGGCGGGCGGCGTGCGGCTGGAGCGCTACTACACCCAGCCGCTGTGCACGCCGTCCCGCAGCCAGCTCCTCTCGGGCCGCTACCAGGTAGGGCGGGCGCTCCCAGCCCTGGATGCTGCGGGTGCTCCCGGCTCGCTTCTGGCAGCCCCCGTGCGCTGGGGCTTGCTGGGTCTCTGTGCCGCTGTGCCGCGGAAACCAGCTGCTCTGAAGCTGCAAACTTCGCCTGGCGAGCTCGGGAGTAAAGTAGATGTGGAATCAGTGCAAATTGGTCTGTTCCAGAAAAGCCGAGCTGCTCTCTATGCTTCGGTTGGATTAACAGGCACGGCAGCCTGTGTTGGAAAATATCCTTGCCCTAGTCGCCTGCTTGTTGGATATTTTTCCACTGGACAACCCGGGTGAGACGCATACAGAAGCAAATGAGCATTACTTGTTCAGTTTTTGCTACATGTTTCCAGTGCAGCGCCCAAATGCATCACAAGCTATCCATTCACCTCCACCTGGTACAGGAGGTGATGTTCTGCGCTCCTCGATAGAGTGCGCGAAGAGTGGTCATTAGTCTAAATAGTTCATAGTGGTTATCCTGATTTTCCCACTTTTTTTTTTTTTTTTCCAGTTGTACAGGTGTAAGATTTGGGCTGTATCAGTACTGATATAATTTTACCCTTTCCCATCCTTTTTGCAGTTTTGGCAAAAAACAGGGGGAGTGGGGGGTGGGAAAGAAAGTGTGGACACACAGCATAGACAGAAGGAAGAAACTCTCAAAAGGTTAAGTATGTTTCAGAAACTTCCCCTCTGTCTCAAGAAGTCCTGCACATCCATGCTAACCGTAGTGATTGCCAAATAAACTGCTCTGGGTGAAAGAAAATAAATGTTATACTGTATTAGTGGATGCTGTCTCCTCTTGCAGAAATGTTTTCTAGGTGACACTCTTTCCAAGTAACGTTTGTCTCGTTCCTGAAAAGTCCAAGAACGAATGATGATGAATAGGAAAAAGCAATTTACATTATCTTTACCAACCCTTGAGGCGGTTAAAATATTTTTTCATAGTGAATATTTTTAAAATACAGTTCATAATCTGAATGTGCTCTCTAAGAAAGGGGCCACTGCTGCATCACATCTTAAAAATGGACTTTGAAAATACCTATAGTTCAGTCTGGATTTTAATTCATCCCATACATCTGGCTTGAAAATTTAGTAATCTTTATGTTGACCATGTTGCAACTGAGTGAAATAATATTAGAAAATTGAAGTAATTTTCTTTAATTTTTTTTAATAGAGGAAGCATTCCGTGCAGCAGTAATTATGCAGCAAATAATTATGTTATGCAGAAAATATGTGGGATCTTTGTAAAAATTGTTTTACCCATGGATATGATTAACAGTTGCTTAGAAACTTGAGAAAGTAACCTAAATCTGGAGCTGAGATTTTGGTAGTCACCTTGCAATCCGTCTAAAAGAAAATCAGTGGTATTGGGCTATGATAGCTATATTTTTTTATAATTGCCTCCTTGTCCATTTTCTCATTTTCTAGATACAGTGAAAGAAATTACAATGCTTTGCTAGTTTGTGCAATTTGTATATTCATGCTTTCTGTAATAAAGAATTTTAAAATATTTTAAATATTTTTATCTATAATAGAAAATCTATACTATAATTTAACTTTTGAAACCTCCTTGTTCAAAGAAAATGAGAAAGTAATAGGCCCTTTAGAAAAGGGCCTCACCCAGTTGCCTAAGATCATGGCTTATTTGTTTTAAAAGTTAGTTCAGAGAGTTGCTAAATTTCAAAGCAATGCTTTCAAAGTTAGTAACACAGCTTGCTACACTGGTGTGCTTATCGGAGTCATAAAATCTGGGGTCATCTGCTCCACAGGATCTTGGAGACTTTGTGCTTTGACATACACAGTTTGCTAGAAATATTTAATATATGAACAAAACATATATAATTGTATACATATAATATCAGTAACTGAGGAGGTTTCTTATATCAGGAGTGATATACTACTCAAAGTATTGTTATCAGTGATGGTTTTGTGAACAAATACAAAATTCACAACTTAGTAAGAGTGGAAACTTTAGTAGAACTATTGAATATCAGATCTAGTCAGTGTGAAGCTTGTGTCATCTCCATACCCAAATGCTTTCTATGATGCTTGTACTTATTTAAAGCATGCAAATAAATATACAAATGTGTATATAGAATGTCCATTTAGAAGAGTAGTAGAAAAATAGTTTTCTTTTATTGACCTTTCCTCCAGTGACTGATCTCTGATCCAGGCAAAAGCTTGATAGATTCACCTGCCATGTGCTTTTTGCCCATTTCAATCCCATTTAAAATGTCTCACTCCATCTTGAGATGTCCCTAGACTTCAAACAGACCATTAGATTAGAGGATTTAGAGGACTGTTAGATTTCTAGCTAAAAGCATAAAAGGCTTTGTGTATGTTTGTTTGGTTTTTTTTGTTTGTTTTGAGTTGGTTTGGTTTGGAGTTGTTTTTTTTTTTTTTTATTGTGCTTAATTTATGTCTGGGAAGATGTTAACTCTTGCAGTGCTATTTTCTTGTTTTCCTCCATGCAACCCCTGCCCTCCACCCTGCAGCTTCCTCATCATCTTCAGTGGTACATTGATAAAATGAAGATGCCCTAAAAATAATGCTAATCTCTAATGCAGCTGTGCTTCTTTTTTGGCCTGCTTATAAATTAACCTGTGGGCTGCATTGTAAGTGATCTCTCGCACTTCTTTTCTCTGCTAGATCCACACAGGTTTACAACACCAGATAATTTGGCCATGCCAGCCCAGCTGTCTGCCATTGGATGAGAAACTCCTCCCAGAGCTGCTTCAAGAGGCTGGATATGTTACTCATATGGTGGGGAAGTGGCATTTGGGGATGTACAGAAAAGAATGTCTTCCAACCCGCAGAGGATTTGACACTTACTTTGGTAATGGTTTGATTTAATATGGGCAAAATGTGGTGTTGAAAAGGATGAGAAGCTGCCAAACTGCCCCTTTCTTGTAACAGCAGCGGATTTACTGTTGATTTATAAGTAAAGCCATACCTCGGTATGCACATTTCCAAAGTATCACTGCTTTAAAAATGATAATGCCTTAAATGTATGCTCAAGCTTTACAGCTGACTGAAGAAAGTATCAGAATTACTGTGTGGCTCCAAGTAAAGTATTTCTCTCTTACCATTTTCCCTCACTCCTCCCTCCTTCCCAGAGTTAACTTTTTAGTCCAAATACTCTGTCTCCTACCTACAGCAGCACAGGGGAATAGGGAGTGGGGATTACAGCCAGTTTGTGTAGCTTTGGTTTTCCAGAGCTGGTGGTGAGATGGTGTGAAAGCATCTATAAAGTAGTATCCAAAAACTCACAAGTTAGGAACTGAGCTGTCAGGCTAAACAGTAGACTCACTTGTCTGAGTGTGAGTGCATTACTTGCAGAGCAACTTGTAGCTATGCATTGATTATTGTTCCAAGTGTGGCTTGGGCTCCTGTCCCCGTATCAATTCCACATTTATTAGTTTTGCACAAGTGTCACGGATGTTATGTGACTTGGGCTGTCTGATGTACATCTCATTCTGCATGGCACTGAGCTCAAAGAGGTCCATATCCACTTGATTGTTTTTGAGACACTTTCCTTGAATGATGAATTTCAAAATAGTTCATTTCAGTGCAGAAGACCACATTGCTCGTGTCTAACCTACAGCTTAAATGAAGAGTGTGACTCTGTGTGTGCCTTTTATAAACTAAGCTCGTCCACACATGAGGTGGGAACAACTGTTCCCTTTGATAGTTTAGTTTGTTTCACTCTTCAGGGAGCTCAGGGCCATGGTTTCACAACTGAATTAAGTGAATATATGTGGATTGTAATATAATGGCTATCATTGCTTAAGCATTTGTGCTTTCTCCCATCCCTTCACAGGAGTTTGGGATCTCTTTGATGGCATGGGTGTAGGTAAGCTGCTGTTCCTTGTGAATTCTCACCCTGGGACTGAGCAGGCTTTTAATGCAGGAGCCTGAGGACAGGCTGGCTCTGGGTATGGTTTTTGGGTGCCCAATGTGACATTATTTTTCAGAAGATATAGTGGTTTAGTATCCTGCAATGTTCACGTGATTCCAGTAGGCATCCATTATGATTAGTGGTGTTTGATTCCATGGCACACTTGATGCAGTCTTGTTCAGTGGACATTCAAAATGGAAAAAATGCAACATGTGCATTTGAGTACATTGATGCAATGTACACAAATGCAAAGAAATCTGCCTATAAAATCACTTCATCTTTTGAAAAATTAACCATTTTACTCTCCTAAAAATATAGTAGACATTTGTATTTTATTTAAGATAACTTCATTTTTTCTGTACATTTGTGTTTGCAGAAATTACTAGCTGCAGCTGCTGAAAAAAAAGTTCAAGTAAATTTCTTCTATCTTGGATTTTTGTCCCAGGTTGTTTTTTTGTTTTTTTTTTTTTTGCAGAACATAAGGCTGTATTTTTTTCAGATTCATCCATTTTTTTCAGGATATTGGGGGAGAAATCTAAAATCTAATTTCAAATGTAATTTTTGAGATTCAAGTATTTTGATTTTGAAAAGTTTTATTCGTGCCTGCTAAAACACAAAAGCTCTCGATGCCTAAGAGGGTAGCCCTAGGTAGGAGCAAATCTATACATGCAGGATTTTTACTTAATTTATTTTGGATATCTCTAAATGATAGTGTCTTTTCTTCACCAGCTGGTGTCAGCAGTGGATCAGAAATTGCGCTACAGCAGACATAAAAGATGATTCATACTTGGGTATTTTTGAATAAATGGATTTAAAAATTCCAAACTTTCTGGTAGAGGTGGAAGCCTTACATCAAAATACAAACATAGAAATCATACCACCAAAAATCAGACTAGTTCACAGCTAGATCACTGCCTTGGCTCTTAATGCATTAGTTTAGTGCTGATGGACATCCAAGTACGAGTTAGAGGTCATTAAACTGCTTTCAAAATGTTTAACTTCTTTTGAAATTAATGCTGGCATTAGCAATGAAAAGCCTATGAGGTATTGGATGTGGAGCTACTTAGACATGTCAGGGGTCTCACAGTAGGTGGTCCAGGATTGAATTAGTGTTTTAGCTCAAAACCACTAATGTTTTGACATTTGTGTTTGACTTTTTTTCCTCCTCCTGATGTATGTGTTTATGTGACACAATGTTGGCCTGCTCATTTGACATCTTTTCCTGTTGTAGGCTATCTCCTTGGCAGTGAGGATTATTATACTCATGACCGCTGTGTCCTCATCAAAGCAAAGAATGTGACGCGCTGTGCTCTGGACTTTCGAGATGGAGAAGAAGTTGCAACTGGATTTAAAAATGTGTACTCCACAAATTTATTCACAGAAAGAGCTATAGATCTTATAGCCAATCACAAAACTGAGAAGGTACAGGCAACAGCTGCTGCTCTGATAACTTCAGCATTAAAGAATGTTTCTAAAAACATTGATGAAATGTTAATACAGAGAGCTGTGTTTGAGCTGCAGTTCAGGGCTATTCAATAGGTGCATGGAGCTAAATATGAGAAGTAGCAGTAGTAAAACTCATCTGCTGCCAAAATTGGCTTTGTCTGCATTGTCCTGGCCTGCTACCTTTCTCCATTTCTTCTATTTTCATACAATTAACACATTTTTAGAAATGGTGTAGCAAGTAGTTTGCACTTCTAAGCAGAGAAGGGAAGCTTAAGAGAAGTTTAATAGAAAGAAATCGTTAACAATTATGTTATGAAGAAAAGATACAGCTGATGTTTTTCCACAGCTTTTCAAAAGTAATGTTTCAAAGCTTTCTTAGTTTATGTGCAGGGAATAGAAGGTGTAGAAGAAATCAAAGGGCACTTACTGCACTGTTAATAAAAGATTTCTGCTTTTGCTGCAGTAACTTTAGCACTTTATGTTTAACTTTAGTACTTTACGTTCAACTAATTTCCATTCTATTCCTTCCACCCCAGCCCCTCTTTCTCTATCTCGCCTTTCAGTCTGTGCATGAACCTCTTGAGGTCCCTGAAGAATACATGAAACCATATTCTTCCATAAAAGATGTGAAGAGGCGCCATTATGCAGGAATGGTGACTCTTATGGACGAAGCGGTAGGAAATCTTACTGATGCTCTGAAAACATACGGTCTTTGGGACAACACGGTTTTTGTTTTCTCTACTGGTAAGTTCCTTCAAGTATTCTTTCAGTAATAACTTTGCTAACAAGCTGACTACAGAGACATCTGGCCCCTCTGTCTTTTCTCTGGATATCTTCTAGTGACATAAGAGTGAGGAAAGTTGAGCAGGAGTTTTGAGTGAAACAACGGTTTCTCTCCCTTCTCTTAGGGCTTTCTCAAGCTTGACAAAAACAACTCTGAAGTAATGTCTGTGCACATGGGGGATGCTCCTGATGGTGTAAAAATACCTTTTTTTAAACCTGAGGAGTGCAGTGGAGTTAGAAGCATCCTACTTGACGCTGCAGTTACTGAGGATCTGTCAGAATTGAATCCTTACTGAGACCTGTCTACAAATTTATTTCTTCTGAAGCAGTCTGTCCTCTCTGTGAATTGCTGTGTGTTGCAGGAAGCACAAACAGCTAGACAGCAATCAGTTTGAAGCCAAAACTGTTTCTTTCCCTCATTTTAAGACGTTGTGTAGTTTTTCTCATTTTTGAAGTATTTCACTGGCATCTTAGTCCCATGAAACAAAGGTCTGTTAATAAAACAGCTGAAAATATGACGAGCAGTCTAGTCAGCCAAATTACAGTCTAAGTTTTTCTATGTACAGGCACACGATCCGGTTTCTAGATTATTAGAGTAATGTAAATAATACATTGCAAAGCAGTCTACTTCGTTTCCAAATTAAGAATGAAACAGAACTTTTTTGAACTACTTGGCTGAGTTTCAGGAACATATTTACTCTTGTTTGGTTGGAAGTGGGAAGTAACCTTTCAATGCATATAGTAGTTCTTTTGCCCACACTTTACATATTAGGGCTGTCAAAATGGCAAATTAATTTTATGTGAACACTTCAAATACAAGAAAAAGAACTGAAATGAACAGACAAGCAAAACAAAAAAAGAACCAACGAAAGTTTGATGAAAATGCGCTTTGGTGTTTTGAATTTAGCAGCTGCTTCCTATAGCATTCAGAATCTTGGAATTTAATTTTGAGTCCAGACCTGTTTGCCTTATGATGTTATATTTATGTCCAGGTTTTGGATCTAGCAGGATTTGATAACTTGTCTATGCCTATTTCTGTTTGCAATGTTTTTATATTTAGAACTGAAAGTAAGCAAAGACATATGGAAGACTATACTAGTATTTATTCCATATGGAAAAAATCCAGGCTTTGCTGAGGCTGGGGCTTGGTAGTTATTTCAGTAATGTTTATTCAGTACATTGTGGAATAAAACTAAATATATCTGAGCTAGAATTACAAGGTATGAGTGAATTAAAAAGACAAATTTGGTTTTTTTGCCTATGAAACATGTATTTTTCTGGATGGTGATGGTGTACCCTGTTTTTTAACAGTGATTATTTTGCAATCAGTTGCAGGTATATTTCAACAAGAATCAAACAATTAGGAGAATCAAGTGCCTACTCTATCTAATGGGACTTATTTTGAGTTAATTGGCAGTTTAAACTTCCAGGACTTAAATTTAATATGATCAAAATGCATGGAAATTGGACTTAAATCAGGCAGGACAGGGGCCAGTGATTTGGGTCTTTTCAGTGTTCTCACTTTACTTCACGCAGCTATTCTTTACAGGCATAAAACATTGCATGCAATAAGGACCCAGCTTTGAAAACCAAGTGTTAGAACCATAAAACATTTTAAAAAGACCAGAAAAGGGAAAAAACCAAATTATTTGTTTTTTCTATATTTTGTTTAGTGCTTTTACAGGTGGTGTGTTTCAGAACGGACATTAGAACATGGTTGAAAAGAAACATGCGAGGATCTGCAGTTGAGCATCTCTTGCAGAGAGCTGTGCTGTGTCAGATCTCCCTGCACAGCTTCCAGGTCCTTTGGAACTGGGAGTCGTGCTGTGCACTGGTAGCTATAATATGAGCATATGATTCTAGTATTATTTACCTCCAGCTCTTGAGATCATGTCTTCTTGGAGAAGTGCCTCTTCCTGCCCCAAGTGCTGTTCTGGCATTGGGAGACCCTTTTTTAGCTTAGAGGGACACAGCAGGGGACACACACTTTTCTTCATGATCAAGTACTCTCTCCAAGAAAGTTCTTCCCATTTTGTGGGATTAAGAATGAATTTAAGGATTTCAATGAAGACTGCAAGGGAGAATCTAGGGAATGATAAAGTTTATCCATAAGTTTAATGAGCAGTGTTAAAAACACAGAATCATCATACTTCTTCAGAGGGATTTGGGGGTGCTGGTGGCAGAGAGGCTGGACATGACCCAGCCATGGGCACTCCCAGCCCAGAGAGCCACACGTGTCCTGGGCTGCATCCAGAGCAGTGTGGGCAGCAGGGCCAGGGAGGGGATTCTGCCCCTCTGCTCTGCTCTGCTGAGACCCCACCTGCAGGGCTGCAGCAGCTCTGGGGCCCAGCACAGGAAGGACATGGACCTGCTGGAGGGAGCCCAGGGCACGGCCACAGAAATTATCAGAGAACTGGAACACCTTCATTATTAGGACAGAGAGTTCGGGTTGTTCAGCCATGAGAAGAGAGGGCTCTGAAGATACCTTACTGCAGGCTTTCAGTACTTTAAAGTTGGCTTATAAAAAAATAGGAGAACAGAGTTTTTAACAGGATCTGTTGTGATAGGACAAAGGGTGATGGTTTTAAACTGAAGTAGAACAGATTTGGACTGGATATAAGGAAGACAGTTTTCATAATGAAGTTGGTGAAACACTGTAGCAGGTTGCACAGAGAGGTGGTGGATGTCCCATCCCTGGAAACATTCAAGGTCAGGCTGGATGGGGCACTAAATAAGCTGATCTAGTCGAAGAAGTCTGCTCATTGTAGGGGAGGTTGGACTAGATGACTTTTATAGGTCCTGTCAAACCCAAACCATTCTATGAGAAAAGCACTCCCTGTTTTGTTAGCTATGTGGTTGGATAAAGGTGTTGTTGAAAGTCTGTAGAAGAAAAAGAAGGCCCTATTTTTATGGTACATTTTACTTGATTCATTACTATTTCCTTTTTAGTTTAGGCCAAAATTCACACTTTTGTGTTTGTATCTCTCCATGCTTTAAAAGTCCTGTCCAAAGAATAATTTACAGGTGGTCATTTTGTATTTTGTATTATAGCAAGTAGCATTGCAACAAACATAATCTTCTGACTACTTCTCTGTGTTGACCTCAAAGTGTAGATTTCTCTTTAGTGGGTACATATTTAAAAAACATAGACTATGATGTAGTATTTGATCTTGTGGTAGGGGTTTTATTATTATTATTATTATTATTATTATTATTATTATTATTATTATTATTATTATTATTATTATTATTATTATTATTATTATTATTATTATTATTATTATTATTATTATTATTATTATTATTATTATTATTATTATTATTATTATTATTATTATTATACTCTTTCATGTTTCTTCCTATTTGTTATGGCTCAAGAGGGATTGCCTTGAAAACATGCCAGTTGACAAGTAGAAATACTCCACATTTTGAAAGAGTCTTATGGAAAGTGTAGAAGAACATAAGTTCCTCTTTAAAGTGGCCTGATGGATAGGATAAAAATGTAACTTCATTATTTTGGTCATTAGCAAAGTTGGACTCCATCAGTATGTCCTGTAAATCAACCCTCTTTTTGAGGCATCTTTTTGAAGCCAGGCTATTTCTACAAGTAAATAAGAAAAAAGTGAGCATGTTCAATGGCATGTGGTGGTATATTTGTGTATCAAGTAGTAGCTTGAAAACTCTTGACTGGTTTGATATGAAGTAGAATTTGCTTTTGTGGAGCATATTTTACACTGCAGATGCAAGTAACTCTGTGCTAACGAGATCATTGGTGAAAATAAAATAATTGCTTGTTTAAGCAAAACAGATGAAAATGAATGCAGCAGTGGCGGGTACCCATGGCCTTTTGATCACTTGAAATCAAAGAGAATGAGAGAGTGTGTATTTCTCCTCTAAGCAGTCATAGGAGGATGTAACTACCAGTGTCCCTGAACAGAGCTTCGATTTAAAACAAAGGTCATAAAAAGCATTAAAATGGTACAAATTTGGCTCAGAACTATTAACATGGGCTTTGAGTCCACATTTTGCTTCAAATACAGAACTGTGATTTGAGGTAAGATGTGTTGTCAATACAATGTGATTATAGTTTCTGCAAGGTATTACAAGAACTTGCCAACGTTAAAGCAAAGGAATATGACCCGTAATTTCAGCTCTGTATTAAAGCTACTATCCTGGCTTTATTTAATTTTCAGCTCTTTGTTATACTGAAACACTGTGGAGCAACACTCCTTTCTTCCAGTATTTCTTCCCATTTTAAAATGTGGATTAGCACTGTAATGCCCAGTAGTTGCCATAAGAGGGCTTTGAAAAGCAAAACACATGTAACTTTTCAAGCCTTGGTTTACATTGCTAAGAGGAAACCACATAAATCCTTTCCATAATGGAGCATGTGACAGTGATGACTGTTTTCACTCCAAAAGACGGTCTTTTTATCATTGTAGAATTATGATTCATAAGAACACAGATTGTTTTGGAGATACTGATGTTTATAAAGTCTCTATCATAACCCTAGGGTTTTTTCCCCCCACAAAATTTCATACTGCCCTTTTTTTTCCCTTTTCTTTTTTTTTTCCTTTTCTTTTTTTTTTTTTCTTTCATTCCAGCCCACATATTGTGGCTTTTGACTAATGAAATAATGGGATTTTCTTTTTCCAATGCCTTCTTTGAGACTACAAATCTGACTTTCACTGATTCCTTAAGGGAATTTTTTAATCTTCTTGGTATCTCTGTGCAAAAATTAGCTCCTGCTCCTTCACTTTTGCATATAAGGGGCTTCACAGAGTTTTCTAATTGCAGATTGGCCAAGCCAACTGACTAGAGCAATTATTCTCTTGTCTGTGATGTCTGAGGTGCTGATTTTGAAGGTTGTGCTCTCAGATTTTATTACTGCAGATCTGAAGATTTGTTTTAATTGGTCTTTCAGAGGTTTCTGTGAGGTTTGGTGTGTTTTCAGTGAGGAA